GAACCCGAGGTGAAATCTCCACCATGCATTCTTTGTTTTTGATCTTTGAGGTATTTGTATATGAGACACATGGGATGGATGGGCCATCAAGACTAAACACTAGGAGTTTTGATAGCTGTTACAGTCATAGCCTTATTTTTGAACAGTTCCAAATAATTAACTTCTTGCTATAAACTTCATGTCCACATCTTATTTTGATAAAACAAGAAGAAACCTGCCTGAAAGAAGGCAACTCAATGCCCAGTATAAACAACTACACTATGTTTCTCTTATCAGATCAAATTAAGACAATAGGGGATGTTGCACACTTCAGCAAAGACAAATACATAACCAGACTGTGCCTGTTTCAGAGTGCCACAGGTGTCACAGGGGGGCGCCAGTCACAAAACCTGTTGTTGTGTTCTTGGGCAAGACACTTCACCCACATTGTCTCGTATGAAAGTGGTGTATGTGTAAGTGATGGTGGTGGTCGGAGGGCTAATGGCGCAGATTGGCAGCCTCACTTCCATCAGTCTTACACCACTGAGTGCTGAGTGACTGAATAATGATCTGTAAAGTGCTTTGGGTATCTTGAAAGGCGCTATATAAATGCAATGATTAATTAATTAATATTAATTAAAAATGTAACTTTGACTGGTTTTTGCTGCAGCACTACAGCGTGAATCTTAAATTCTGTGAGGGAATTACTGAATGTTCACTGTAGGCACACAAGGATTAGGGTTCCAGACAGCAACCATATGCTTTGAATTGTTGAAACTATTCTTATCTAGTTAACATTGATAGTTACTGATCAATTATTAGCTGGATAATTTAGGTCTATAGGTTTCAGCTTCTTTTTGAATGGAACATTTTGAGGACTTTTCCACATTCAGAAGATATAAGTACTTTGTTTATCATTCTGAAGCGCATGAACTAACACATGCTGCTGTTAGGTCAGATAATTCACAGCAATAATGTGACACAGCACAACTCTCCAGACAACACTCAGATCTTTGTCTCAGTGCAGCAGATGAATATGGACCAGTGGATTCACTCTGCCACTGTATCCAACAGATCAGTGTGTGGATACAAAACGACTTTCTCCAGCTAAACTTTGGCCCACAGAAACAAAGAGACAGTGTGAGCAGTCATCTCCAGTCTGTGTCTCTGAAACCTTCAGATCAGGTTAGAAATCTAGAATTTAAAATGGACTCAGACTGGAACTTTTTCACCATCTAAAACATTGCCAAAATTAAATTTCAATTAATATTTATATATTTATGAACAAACAAAACTAACTAAATGGCTGGTTTTAGCTGCATTAAATATCGAAGCAATGACACTTGACTTGTGTGTGACGTGACAAGACGAATAATAAGTCTTAACCTGTAATTAGTGACTGAAATGTGACATCAAACCAAAATTAATTGTGGTGCAAAAATGCATTGGGTTGTGGCCGTTACTAAAAATACATAAAGATAAACATGCGTCACAGTTATTATGCAGTTAAAGCATGTG